CAATGTACGAAAATTAAAAGAAAACAATTCGTAAATATCACGATTGATAATCAAGTGAATAATACAAGCATTAGCACATAATGATTGAGATTTTCAGAAGAATTTATTTTTCTGTTAAACATGAAGTATTACACAAAACACTAAAAACATATTTCATGAATTAGTAAAAGCGTTCTAACCAAAAACAAAATAAAGAAAATTGACTCTTACTGTAGGATTATTCTGGCAGTTTTAAGTGTTTTTCAAAACAATATATACAAATATGTAATTCACAAATTGAACGAAACTGAGGAACACGAAGCAAGAGAAAAGAAATGTCGATTTGAAATTGCTCACTCTTAAATCATAGATAGAAAAATGAATATTATTACTTTGATGTCATATTACATTTTTAAAAATAAATAAATGTCACTAATTTCATTTATAAATATTAATCACTTGGTGTATATATTTCAAAACATGTAAATACAAGAATAATGTAATGAAGAAAACAATGTAAACATGTTTATCGTTGTTTTCTTAATGAACTATTACATTTATAATATTACATTTATATTAATTCCTACACATATACTTGATAATATTCGAAATTCTAATTTATTTCATATCATTCATTGTGCACATCAGTGATTTAAGAGACACTAATAAAGCAGATATTATATCGTTTTGTTTAACTGAAATGACACATAATAAATAAAAATTATCTGTCTGTAATGTTCACGCAAAATGTACTTAGGTCGATAAAGAAAATTCGTAAGAATAACTAAGCGATAGTATAGTCAAACAAAGTATTTCATTTCGCGTATATGAATAGGTTCTCTTGGATTCCAACTCCACAGTACTTTATTACAATACGGTATTGAACAATGCTTCGGCTGACAATCACAATACGTACCGTTCGCAGCAAGTATAAGTGATGACCGAAAACTATGACTAATTCCTACGTGCTAACTTAAAACTAAGAAAAGAAAGAAGATGATAGGGAGTAGATAATCTAGAAAAATAGGATACAGTAAGAAGTGTAATACCCGGGGATTTGCTGGACTTTACAGTTTTGGGTGGGATATCATGTTGAACCTTTTTCTGAAAAGTCTTTCGTCGTCTTCACTAGGTTTTTCTTTTCAAACTCTTTCCACTTTTCTACTCGTTGCCTTTCGCGACCTGGAGCACCATATTTAACGTCTGTCCATCTCGGGGTCTGAGTCAAAGAATATCCTTCCCTTATCCCATCGACCTCTTTTCTTTCATTGTTCTCAGTGGTTCTAAGAATCGGTCACTCCACCCAAGGGAAAAGAGTTACAAAGGAAAGTTTTGGAAGGAAAAAGAACAAAGAACAAAGGAGAGGACTAAAATTATACCTACATTATTATACAGTGGAACCCCGGTTAACAAACTTAATCCGTTCCGCGACTCCGTTCGTTAACCGAATTGTTCATTAACCGAAGCAAATTTTCCCATAGAAATTAATGCAAATGCAATTAATCCGTTCCTGTCTCCGAAATTTTTGTAATTTTATTTGTAATATACAACAGATTTTCTTTGATGAAAATGTAGGAAAACGTAGTATCTATCATTACAGCAACAAACATGTAAACTTTGTTTAATAAACTAGCACTGTACATACCTTCGTTTGTTGTAGTTGGTGGCAGAAAAGTGGAGATATACGAACCTTAATGCTTAGAAGGGGAATCCCCTCCAAAAAATAATGGGTAGCACTTCATTGGAAGATTCTTCAAGTCAAAGTCTCTTTCAGTAAAAAAAAAAAAAAAAA